ATGCTTAAAATCCACAGACGAACACGATAGATGTGCACAAATGGGTTCAAGCACAAACGTGTCCGCATAGCCAACAGGGACGCTGGTGCTTGCGAAGAAGCAGTCACGGGGATTATGGGAATAGAGTGAACTACCAACCTGTCTAGACATGTGTCGACGTAGCTCATGGAGAAGGCCCAGCCTAAAACATCGCACTGTGACCAGAAAGGTATGCTAAGGAGCAAATTACACTCCCCAGATATTCACACACAGTGGTAGAACTGACTTACGTGATGACGCTTCCATATGACCAATCAACCAATGGCGATTGCAGGCTTGGGTCTCAAGGTTCGTGTACTACAAACATTCGTCTGTTTACGGAGGCGCGTTTTGTGTCAGTTTGAAGTTTTTTGTACCATTTCTGACGTCAACTGGAGTGCGTCTTTGCGAGCACTTTTTCCTTGGCGTTACACCAGGTGTGTGTGTGTGATTTAAACAACGAACAATTAGATTGTTATTCATTCAAAGAGACACTGTATTTCACCGCGCAGAAACATCACAATTTGGCCAAATCAAATGGAATCATATTGTCAAAGTCAACCAGGATAAATTCAGTGTTGCAGTTAACGAGAATAGTAAAAGTACAAAAGAAAATCCCCACACGGATGTAAAGCATTTGGGAAAAAAAGGGATTGTCAGAGAATAATTTGATTCCTTACACTCCTCGTTAACGCCTTATGCGGCAAAACTATCGAATTGAGAACGATGACCTCGGCGGGCACGGCCACATTCGAGCCTGCAAGGAAAGGGGAAAGGGGGTGTAATTGATTAACTGTTGCCGTTTATTTTCTGCTCTTTGATTGGTCGAGGGAGTTCGACCAATCGACTACCAGGTTTGAGTGCATCTTTTGAAATTTGACCGGTTGCTCAGTGTTTGCCACTTATAGCTGCAGGTATAACATCGATACGAGTGAAATGAATAGTGAATCCTGCGTGATCTTTAAATCGTCGTTTTTTCCAAATAGGGTCTACTAATAGTGACGAGATTAGATGCAGTATGGTTGCGGAATTGTAAAGCTATTCAAGAAAGCCGTTCTTGATGAAAACACGAATTCCTTTAAATCGACTTTTTCGTGTTTGCACAACAAAATTATTACATATGCAAGATTTCGGTGTGTCTTTTCCAAGTTATTTTTTATAAAAGAAACTAGAAGCGAAGAGACTTCAAGTACCAAAACAGGAGGTAAAAACATAACAACGAGTTAAGTAAATGATAAATCCAGCCTCAAATCACAAAACCGTTATCTAGCGCATTTGATTTTGATTGACAATTAAAGCTATTTTGAGATTCCCTATTTTTATCATTTGAAGACGTGTAGATTCCAATTTATACCCAATTTCCATCAATTTGTCCATTTTTAAACCCTGAACAAGCTTATAATCAAGGGAGTTTAAACACTCGTTCAAAGAAAGGACCATTACATTAAAAATATGCTTTCGTGTCAAGGAAACAACATGGCGAAGACAAGGTGATTGCTTATTGGTTGAAGCTGAACAGTATTGATTATGTGCCTTTGTTTAGACATTGAGAAAATGCCATTTCACCCAGCAATACACATTCACCAAGATTTTCAAATACTTCTAAAATGGATAGAGTTGAGGACTCCTAACAAGTTTGGGCCGAATTAACACTGACCACAAAAAACTACAGTTCGAGGAGAATATACGGTAGGCAAAATCACACGAACCAATGACAGTGATGGAGGGATTGAGCTGTCCCTTGGCGTTGAACACCGAGACGACTTCGAGTTTGGTGAAGGGGGTGTTGGGATTGGGACCGTAGGGTGCGGTGCCCTCAACTCGAGCCCACTGGCCCACCACCGCGTTCCACCCGATGACGCAGTTGAGGCAGCACGCATGCGCCTGGATCTCGGCGTTGCCGAGGACAATGCAGTCGCGCAGGCGCACACCCTCGCCGATCACGGCGCCCGCACCCACGCTCACATTCGGACCAATCACCGCCGAGGGGTCAATACGTGCGGTTGAGTGGAGGTGGACGTCGCCGATTATGCGTGGCGAGGTTACCTCGTCGCCGCTTGCCGCCTCGACGTGCGACGCGAGGCGCTGTGGGTGGGTGCGGTGATACATGGCCAGCATCTGACGGTTTGCGTAAATCACCGCCCTGAAAACAAGGGAGTAACGGGAAATCGGAAATGACAGAAGTAGGCAATCAGCAATAACATTCTCTAGTGCACTAGCTCTGCAAAAATTTTGGCCTCCACGACGAAAAGTGAGGAAACGAGGAAAGGGTACTTTGAGCTGCTGCTGATCGGCTATTGGCTGGCAGAAAAGGCCAATCGCAGTTACTGATTCGGTCTTTTTGAAGAGGCATCATTTTAGGTTGTCGTCTTTGGAAAGCAGATGGCAACTTACCCAGTGTGCTTGATTTGACTCCAAAAGCGCTCGGTGTGGTAGGCGTAGAGGGTTCCACTGCCGGCAAGCGGCTGAAATATCTCCGTTTCCAGCTGAATGCTCTCCTTGCAGTTGCATCGAAGGTCGGTGCTTTAAAAAGGCAATGAAAATACGGCAAATAGATTTGCACCACCGACAATCTTAACAGTGAGGCAGTGTTTGCCCCGCACTCTCGACCTAGGTGTGAATTCATCACCAACCCATTTGGTAGTTAAAAATTCGATGCTCGGACGCCAAAATAAACGCCACAGGTAATCCCCTTCAATTGGACGGTCAATCATCTGGTTAACCTCATAGCAGGAAGCTAAATTCGGACAGATTTCAAGGAGAAAGTGAAATAGAGTGATAAGAACGGTAAAAAGGCGTACGCTTGGTGATTCTGGTGCTCCAAAAAGGCCACACGGATGAATTTAAAGATGCTCGGCGTGAAGAGGTAGATACCGCAGTTGATTTGGACACTGATAAACGTGTCCGGCTTCTCGACATAATGGGTCACCTGAGAAAGGACAGGAAAAGGTCGAATTAGAAGGAGGAACAAAGACAGCTTTGACGCGAGAGTGAGGTTTACCTCATTGGTCGCTGGATTTGTCACAAGGCAGCCAAATTCCATTGACTGTTCACGAGTAGCCTAATATGAAAGAAAAGAATGTGGGTAACCACTAGCACAATCGGTGTAGAGCCTTGTAAACCACAATTCAATTTCCAATTAAAATGAAAGCAATAATCATCGTTTGGGGCAAAAAAGCTCAATATCAGCTAAACAGCAATTGAAAGAAAATATCAAGGAGGTATTTGGAAGGTAATTACAATCTCAACAATGAATCTTCACCGAAACATACGAAAACTGTTGTTTAAAGGTAGAATTTGTAAAAACCAAATAAGAAATGCACTCACTTCTGTCGAGAGGATAACGAAACGATCACCAGACCCAAGACCATCGTGAAAGCACACCATCTCTTGAAGTGGGGCGTCACAACAGACGTCAGCATTCATGACAAAGAGGAGATCCAAACCACCTGCAGTTATTTGGTCTCGAAATTGAAATATTCCACCTGCTGTGCCAAGCGAAGTGAATTCTTGCAGGTACCTAGAGAGGAAAAAGTGTTCACGAATTACAAGACGTAAAGCACATCGATTAGATACCAGACTGTAAACAGTATACGCGGATAAATGCAGCTAAAACGCATATTTACAACACTCAAGAGGTTTAAGGTAACAGCGACGACAGAACAAGGACCAGTTAGGATTTCAATCTATAGATAAACTCAACGCTAATGTTGGAGATCGGATAGCACCCAGAGAAACCGATAAAATATATGTATCGCACGTTAATCAACCAGTCGAGTTGTGCGAAAAGGGGTTAGACAAAGTATTGCCTCTGGAGAAAAATGCTTTAATGTTGATAATAAATGTGACGCTGCCACGTGAGTTAAAATTACCGTATATGGATACCGAATTCCTTTTCGGCGTCATAAATGAGGCGGGATAAGGTATCATTTGGTTGATAAAATCCAATAAGGATAATTTCTTTCAGATTTGATACCTACAGATGTTTCGCATCAAAGCCAAATTTTACCTTTGAAAATGCTTCGATATGGTGGTAGACCATTGGGTAACCAGCAATTGGAAAGAGAGGTTTAGGAAGCTCTAGTGATAGAGGGCGAAAACGGGTCCCTTTCGCAGGTCCCCCAATAAGGATTGCTGCTTTAATAATTCTAGGTTTAGGCATCATCAATTTTGCAAAAAAAGCACAGTTTAGACAGTCACAAAGACAGTGCGACCTAGAACCTTAACCAATAGTTTAAGGACATTAACAAATCAATCATTTAGGTCACAAACAAGGACACACAAAAGGGCCTAATGGAATGAAATTAACAAAATAAGGCATAATTACCAAAAACATCAAGACATGTATTGGTCTTTGTGCTTCAAATATGGAATTTCATTACGCCACAACCGTAGATATTAATGCGTAAAAAATGACAATTTTGGCCACCAAATTTAAGGTGCAGTCTTATTTTTGGGTAACGTCATTGAAGTAAAAACTAAATATAAATTCACTCTGCCTGACCCTGCAATTTACAAAAGAGATACAGGAAAAGGACTTATTTTAGATGCTTTCTTAAATTGATGTAAACAAATAATTGTGTTTTAACTGCTCTCCATGAGGCAACATAATTTATGCGGCCAATTTTTAATCGTGAAATTAAGTTAATTAAAATTACTTATACCCATTTGGTAAAAACATGGAAAATTTATCGCATGAAAATAGGTTATAAATTAAACTCTGCTTACACAAAATAAGCTAACGTTTTAGCATTCTTCAAGCTAAAATTGGTTTTGTTCTGTTACTGCTAAACTAAACTAAAAACTTTTTTCCGTTTTAAAACTGCTTATCTTAGTTAGTCAAGAGTGTCACCTGCGTCATTGACGCTATTTGTTGACATCATTTTACTAATGGCGAACGCTGGTATTGTGTTCATTAGAAATTCTTCCGACTACAGACAAGTAAAATCAATTACAAATAAATAGGTTTTAATATTTAGAATGGGGAATTTAATATTAGACTGCAGATTTGGTACCATTTTTCGGAATTCACGATGAATCACCTTGTAGCACCCAAATAACTTTTGTAAGTTGGTTCTTAGCATGTTTACGAAATCTTGCAAATTGCTGTACTTTTATAACTACGGAAACTATTCTGAAATCGCTTAAAAAACAAGTTTAAGTTAAATTGATAAATGTGTACCAGTCAAATTTAAAAAAATTACTAGAAATCTGAATATTTAAGGCTAAGGCTTGCATATGGCCAAGTAATCTTGTAGCGGATTAACAGCGATCGCGCCTGAGTGAACCATGGTCACTGACCTGACAGTGACAATGACTCACCCCCTTTTTCATTGGTTACTATATCCGATGCCTGTCATCCGTTCACTCATCCACACACTTCGACACACTTGGCTGGCGTGACGCTAATAAACGGTCGTGTCCTTGGTCGCCTCTCTTCTCTCCATTCTCGGGTTGTTACGGGTTGTTAACTAGAGGGTTGTAAGGTAGTGCTTAGACAATAAGCTACTACAATCTGTCTGACACATATTTTATACAGTGATTAAAAAGGCTAATCATTTATTTTGAAAACATTTTTTGGTAACACATACATTGTTTTCCTGCGTCAAACCACCTTTGGAATTCGCCAAACTATTATGATTTTTACAAATATTTCAATTTAGAAATCAAATTAGAGGCGGCTAATGCACTTTGGCATTTTCAACTAAAACCGGCAACTGAAGAAGGATTAACTATAGCCAATTTAACTCCTCCGTTGTTGTGACTGTTGCTGTCGTGTGTTATAAAGCCGTTAAATGTACCCCTTTTTATTCGAATGGTGTACCATGGATGACGTTCTCTTCACCTAATTTTTTGGTTCAACTTCACTTTTGAAAAATATATGCTGCTGCTTCACAATGTTTGCGATAAAGTGTGTGTAAACACGATAACTCAGACTTGATGGGTTTTTTTAGGAAATTCCACAGGCGAAAGCACACCTGCCAAATGCCATCGAGTTTTCAAAACTCCCGGTTCTGCATACGATTATGTTTAGTAATTCTTTCACTAGTCTGGTTAGACCACTGATATTCCATGCTAGATGCATGGTGGCTCATCCACTTACCTTTGAGAATGCCTAAAGTAAATTTCTTGGCTATGCAATTATCAGACTGCCATTCTGAGGGGGTTGACAGACTGTCGTTGCTGAAGGCGTTGTCTATTTGCTTCAACAACAAAAACAACTTCCACCAGAGACAAGCAATTACAAAAGAAGAGACGTTTGTGCTGAGCGCGAGCATCAAAAGCATGCATCACAGGCGCTTGGATGCACTCGCGCCAATTAATTTAAGAAGGGCACCGTAATCCGAAGTGAGACCCTCTCACGATCTGAGATGTTTTCTACCAGGCAATTATGACATACAATGAGTGTGATTCACTAGTTTGGCAAGTAGGCATTGTGTGGCACCAATCCCGAGTAGCATTGTGTGCAACCTGCTAAATGCGTCAGATCTCAAAACCATTTGAAACGACTACCTTTGCTTAGGAAAGGGCTGGAGGAAGTAACGATATCAGTTTAACATATAAACCGGTTTGAGCAAGTCGGGGAGTTTTGGTTTCGATTGAAGTAGCCAATAAATGCCAAAGTCTTTTTTGGTTTACTTTATTTAAAACTTTAAAGCAGACAAAAATCTTGTGTTTGATAAAAATCACACACCCACAAGTCGCTAGGTTCGCAATCAAAAGACCTTTCAACCCAGTAACAAATCCGATGCTCAGTGATTCTGAAAAGGCAAAATTTTGAGAATAGCTGACCTGTGCTTGTATTTTTTTCTTGACGCCTCATGACTAATCGTTTGCAAACCCTAACGCTAATAATCATAAAATATCGTAGCCCACGTAATTACAACCGATCGTGTGAAATATTTGGCAACAGTGATCTCGCCTGTGAGGGCACTTCAGGCTTATTAGAAATGTAAGCAGCATCAATTGATGCGCTCTTGTGTAGATCAGACTTTGTAGGTAGACGGGCCAAAATTTTAATCTGGCAGAAGAACGTTGTTAGTACGAACTGGCTTGTAAATGAGAACGGTTGTGCTACAAAAGTTGAAGAACCAGTGGTTGCTCAGAGAAATGCCTTGTCGAGACATTCATTTCGAACTACACACGAAACTAAAATTGCATTTGGCTTCAGTTAAGGTGCAAAATACTACTTACTTCGTGCCAAAAAAGCGTTTCAGCCGCCAAACAATCAGCATACGTCAAACGACACCACCAAATAAGCCCCAAATTTTAACGCCACATCTAAATGCCAAATGCTTCAACGCATTCTTACTGCGCTTATGTCAAAATTTTTAAGACAATTTCTATTTTCTTGGGTGTATGTGACCTTAATGAGCCAGGAACAAGGTGTCAAATTTCGTTTTTAAGAACCTTGTGCAATCGTGTCATAATGGTGGGATCCAGAAATCGCAGCGCGTAATTGCCATCAGAGTTGATTATTGAATTCCCTTGATTCCGGATCATTTGAAGATCACAATTCTCTCTGAGGCATACGCAAAGTGCTAATTGAATGCTCTGAGTCAGGGATTTCACACGACTCGCTTCAAATCCACCACACCGAATTCCTGTCTTCCCCAAAAACGACGCGAAAGTTAACCAGATATCCAAAATTACTATTACAGCAGTAAATAAAAAGTATTAGACAGCTGACTTTGCATGTTTTATAGTAAAGCTAATTATTTTACGTGGAATTCCGGTAAGTAATTTTGTTTATTTTGAGCTCGATGATTAGAGGACAAAAAGTGACCAATGGTGGCCGCGCCTTCGATTAGCGGCTACTGAAAACAGCTGGATGACAGCCCAAACTCTTATTGAAATTACTGAAACTGATAAATTTGCTAGTCTAGGTGAATGACCTTAAAACGAGCCAATAGCGTTGCCCCACATTAGCCAATCACTGCGTAAACGATGAGGGTAAAAAATAATGCTTGTTCCGAGGCGTCGTACCGAGCGTAATGCCACGAGACACATCCATTCACAATATCTTTTGCGAAAAAAACTTTTGTCAAGTGATGCACGTCTTCCATAATGCAATTAGCCCCAAATAATTGCAAACAGATTGTGTCTGTTACGAGTTCAAAACCACTTCGTCAATGCATAATTGGTGTTAATTCAGTGCGATTGCTTGTCAGCAGGAGATTAGACCAATCTCGGGTGCATGAAATAATATTGGAAGCAGTCAGAAGTATCAGAAATCGACATCTCTGACGTTTTCCTCAACTTGATGCTCTGGAATAATTAATCTTTGATCGTTCAGGTCGATTTCGTAAATCTAATTGACCAACTTCACACATTAGTGGCAACCATACAGTTTTGTTCAATCAAATGGCTGTTTGCCAAATGTTCTCATTTCTCATTGGTTCGTTTCGATTTAGGTCCAATACCACTTGCTAAAGGCGGACAAACCTAGCACTCAAAAGCAACCGTGATTTGAAATGAAGCCTGATAGATTTAAGAAACAATTTTGGTAGACGTTTTGGTGCTCGCGTGTTGCGCCTGCTTTAGAGTTGGCGGTTAGAACCTTCGTGTTTTTATCAGTGTTATTTGCGTTGGCATCCAGCACGCCTACGTGAGATACAATCAGGATATTTCGGAAATGTTCCGACATGACAAGAAGGGAGTATGTCTGAATGACCTATGTGCGTACGCTTTATCCATTATTCTCAGTCAATTGACCAGCTAAATGACCTTTTTAGCTTGGCAACCGAGTTTTCTCTAAAATTCAGAGAAAAAGTTTCAGTCATTTTAAATCGAGATATGTCCAAGTGCTATCCGAAATTTAAAATCCTCTTTTAATCCCTAGCACTCTCAAATTTGTGTAAATTATCGATTTCAATGCAATTGCTAAACGGATTTTGGACCAATGGCAGTTTAGATCCCACACAACCGCTTTTTACACTTGGTTTCATCCTGTCACCGGATTAATCAAACAATTTTGACCAAAAAAGCATGCCACAGGCAAATTAAATCCTTTTAAAACACGTAGGCATCTCCATGGTCACATCCAAGGCGGTGTAGGTACTCACCAGTGGTCGTGTATATACGATTTTTGATAATTAGTGAGTGATTTTGTTAATTAAAGTTAATAGGACCCAGTGTGACTGACGTGGAGATGGAGGGGAATTGTCATCGTTAATCCAATTAACCAGACTCACTCGAATCCGACGCCTTAGCTTTCTGAAGCGTTGTGTGCAACACAAGCAGTTCAATGGATCAAACGGAGTTACCTTAGCAATACGATTGTGTAATTTATTCTTGAAAGGTAACACCATTACCGGAAACCACCTGCGCTGGTGCGTGTGGTTTTAAAATAGGCAGAGACCATTTTAAAGCACATGTGCGGGTCGAAAGCAGCCACGAATTAAAACCCACCGTTCAAAATCGATTTTGCCGCCAATTCCTAATCGACCAATAGTACGTTGGCATTGGGCAAATCGTATTCCCCTTATGGAAGTAATTTAAAATAGCACGTTTAAATTAAAAACGCTTTGACAAGAAAAAAACATATATTCACAACTTCCGCTCTTTCAACTCCTTCTTCTGTGGCAAGTAAAATACTTTTTCTTGTCTTCTATCTAGTGATAGTCGGATATTCGGAAGAGCTAGTTACTCCCACATTATCGCTTAGCCCTGACCCTTAAAAAGCAGTGAATTTTTTTATGAATTCAATTAACTGGACTAACTGTAATTTGTTCACACGCTTAGCTGTTTCAGTGAGAAATACCAATAGCAGTTCACACAATTATGACTACTTTTTTCAAAAGCAAATTCATTTTTAATTACCTGAACTTCCCAAAGCATTATGTACATTAAAGAGGACAAGTTTGTTAAGGTTTTATTGAGAAGAATTTTTCAGAATAACTAATCCACCATCCAGTCGGTACTTTTGTATTTCCAGCATGTACAATCAGAGATTTATGCTAAATCCTGCCCATGAGGTATGTCGACTCATGTCTAGACAGGTTGGTAGTTCACTCTACTCCCATAATTCCCGTGACTGCCTCTTCTCCCTGTTGGCTATGCGGACACGTTTGTGCTTGAACCCATTTGTGCACATCTATCGTGTTCGTCTGTGGATTTTAAGCATACGCGATATCGCATGCACGCAGAACACAACAGCTCAACTGAGTAGAGGCATCCTAGCGTCGATTGTGTTGCCGTTACATCGGTTTTTGCAACCTTCTGTGATATCAGCGTATCTGAACAGAGCCCTAAGATGAAGAAGGCGTTCCTGGTGTGGATTTGAGTGTGATTCAGTGGCTTCCAGAACAGATGACCTCGATGTTAGACACGTTGGTTGTTCTGCGAACAGGTAGCCGACGATAGCGCGGAACGACGTAGGTGGTGGTGCATTTACATGGAGTGTATCTCACGCAGATGGAACCGTCAAGTCGTTCCACGTTGTCATGCAAATCTTGATGTGATTTCGCATGTCACGAAAAGTGCCTACCGAGATGAGTGGACGCGTGCCTGTCTCAACCAGACGGACAAATTTGGTGAACCGGGTATCACCGTACGCCTGGTATGAAATCCAGAATTAATTTCCTTTAGCTCACAAACCACCCGACCGAAGAATCGGATGTAGGATTGTACGGTTCCGGAAATTATTAGGTGATTTCTATGATACGTACACAAGCTTTGATTTGAGTTACGGAATGCTCCACTTAATGGGATAGGAAGAACGTTTTTTTCACTATCTTCGACTTCGACATCTCCCAATTGCACTTTCGTCTATTCAAACTAATCCAGAGCTTCCTCCATCTGCCTGTCTTTCAGATGAAATACGCTCCCTTTACCATAAAGGTCGTTGTCACGCGACTTCTTTTCAGTCCACGAAAAGAGCTGCCTGCCTCAAAAAGTGGTATGCAATTCAGAATTACCCTCCTTTTTGTCACAAAGTACCCGATAGAAGAATCGGATGTAAAATTGTACGGTTCCGGAATTATTGCTTGATTTCTATCGTATTTAAGGAGTGCAATATGATTGGCTGCGTTAGCTCAATTGAAAAATCGATTCAACTGACTCATGCATGCATAAGATTTAACTCAGTGAAATATCAAGTACGGTTGATTGACTAACCTTGACTTCGTCAACGATGATTTTATCCAGACTTCCACAGGCTAGAACGACTAACATGTTCTCGAAGTTCTACTTAGGAGGCACTTGATCAGCAAGTACTAGAGGGCGGTGGCTTTTGCGTAGATGCATTACGCAATATCCACAGTCATTTCTTAGTAAAATCGTGGTGAAAATTTGGCACAGTTGACAAGTGTACTCCGTGTAAGTGTCAGCAGCACGCCAGAATCCACCACACCACAATTACCGACGTAAGTTGGCAGCCAATCAAGGCATCGTGTTCTTCCTCTTTCGCACTAATTAATAGGGATCACGACCTGATGCTAACTGACGCGTACTTACTCAATTGTGGCTGATTTATTGAATGCCTTTAATACGGTACGTCTAACGACTTGATAGTTATTTCAGTCCAGGTGAAAAATATATACGAAGACTTGGTGATGTCGAACCTCGCACGCGATTGGCGGACAATCAGACGTTGGAACTCTTGGACGCGATTCTCTCCTTACCCCAATTCGACAAAGATCAGGTGGTGATTGAAGTCGACGTTGGAAGTCGTGGGGGTTTTATCATGTGAATAACTGCAAACCTACCGTATCTGAAGACAGCTTTTGCTGACAGATGCTTCTGATTATGATCGCCTTCGTCATTTACACAATTTCTCTATCTCATGATTGAGGTCACAATAAATGGTTTAATAATCCATCAAAGTACTGTTAGTCAGCACCACCTAATGCCAGATCGAAGCCAATTGCGCAGCCTAATATGGTTTTCTAATTGACCCCTATGCCTTGTCAGTAGCACTCGTTCTCTCAAATTTAAATCGAAGGTTAATCATGTAAAATAAATCGCAGATAATTTTTTGAACCCCTTCCCCGGAAGGTATGTTTAAGTAAGGCAATTTGAATTTCATTTAAAGTGTTGAGGGCTTATAATGGCCTAAATGTGATGGCTGCGAATAACACTCATTGAAGAGGCGCTATTTATAGCTACGGAACACACCAACTAAATACGGTTCCATGGATGGAGTGAGGATCGCTTCAAGAAAACGGAAACTTGTAATTTACATAATCAACAACCAAATTAAATTGCTGCTAGTTTCCCAGATGGCGGAGTTAGTTATGGAGGAAGGCGTACATCACAAAACTCACATATTTGGCTTCCACAAATACTCATGTTGTAAGATTTAAAAAGGCAGAAGCAATCGCCTCCCCAAACGAAGAAGTCCGAACGAAGTTTTTAACAAAAGAGATTTCAATGATGGGAGTGCGATGTATGTTGTGCAGGGCGGTGTAAACTTCGTGTAGGTAGGAAGAAATGCATTCTCATCCTTATTTCTTCTTCTTCTCCTTCTTCTTCTTGTCCTTCTTATCCTTCTTGTCCTTTTTGTCCTTCTTGTCTTTCTTGTCCTTCTTGTCTTTCTTTTCCTTCTTGCCGTCTTTTCCACCGTCTTCTCCGTCTTTGGCCTGCGGTTCCAGCTGTTTGGTGAGAGCGTACATGCCTGCCGCTATTTGGGGCTACAGGAGACCAATGCAGGGTAGATTAATTAGCAAGAAAACGACTGACGCATTTAACTATTCAAGCAAGAAAGAGACTGTACCCCAGAGGAGGAGACTAACTCGGTTGCTGGACATTTGCATTGGGTTGCAAGTCGCTCGGCAGTTTTAATGTCGACGACTTCCCTTCCACTCCCAGTACGATATTCAACACCAATACCCGCGACGGCCATTGGTTTGTTTAAGTTTTTCACCTGGGGTAGGATCTATCATTGGCGAGAGTATTAATTCATCAAAAGTGTTACTTTACCTTTTCCCTGAGGAAGGCTAAACTCTGATTACTGCGGATGTCGTAAACACAGAGGTAGAGGTCGGCGTCGTTGTCGAGAATTTGTCCGTCGGCGTCATTTCCACTGCTCACATCGAATTCCACCTCGTATTGGTCGAAGGGAATTTTGAGGTATTCTTTCTAAAATATAACATGGGTTACACTGGATTGCATCTGGACTTACTCGCTGCATCACCATGTCAACTGGAACAGGGTGTCCACAGACAGACGCAAACTTCCGACAAGTCTTCCGCGATTTATCGTGCTTGTCTTTCTTGTCCTTCTTACCATCATCCTTCTTCTTCTTCTTCTCCTTCTTCTCCTTTGGCTTCTTCTCCTTTTTTGCCATCGTGTGAGTTGACAGCTAACGGTAGCACCCAATTAGCCCTAGTTGGTGCGTTATATATATATCACACCAGTGAGAGGCCCATTGGTTGAGTGCTGAGCACTGCCATTGGATACGGTGAAATTGGTTAGTGGTTTACGTGTCTCCCTGTAGGTGTTTATTCACGTGATCAAAGAAGGTTAACTTTTCCCGACTACTTCCCTTAGCACATGGTTTACTTTTCACCATGGAACTAGGGTGAATTAATGGGCATTCGGCTGAAGTGTGCTTGACTCCGACGGTTGTCAACAGTCTAACTGAAGTAAGCCTGTCTGCCAGGACTTCAACAGCATCACACCACACTTTTGGTCAATTTTTCCTGGATTATGTAGGCAAGTGTTTGAGAATGATCATTCAGACAATTTTTACTAACTATTAGTACAAACTTGGTCCAATATCCTCAGAGGAACTACTTCCAAAGCCTTGTCAGTCTAGTTTGTCTTCACCAGGTGGATTGATGGATGAATTGACGGGTTTCTAAGTGTGCTAAATTTTCACACGAAACCAATTTAACAATCCTACTACCAAGTTTTTTTTCCATTCTCCCGCATTCACATGCGTGCTTTTCAATTGCGTAACATCTGTCAACCCATAATGATAGGCTGTGGTGTTATCGAATAACTTTTTTGCTAAAAACGTCACTAAAATTGATCATGACGTTTAGTGTGAAAATCGATTAATAATTTGGATTTGGGCTATCATGAACGTTAAAAAGTGGATCAGGGGGCTGGGCATGGTTGAGGGAGAATCGCCAGGTCTGAATTTTCGTAAACAGTTAGGACAGATACGGACAAGGTCATCAAATATCGATTTAGGGAATGTGTTTTGCCAGTCTTTGCTTATTTCGTGATTCAACACAAAACGTCGACAATGAGCACGATTTAGGCATGCATAATTTCGTTTTCTGGAGATTCAAAATGTCCGCGATGGAGACACTACGCAATTAAAACAAGATTTGCACGAATTAGTAAACAGATCTCAATTTTTAGCCCCTTCTACGTCATTTTTGATTGAAATTGTGTTCAACCAAGTCACACAACTAATACTTGTAACTGGTAAGGAAAACTTTGACGCAAAGTATCATGTGGCTGTAAAAACTTGTGACAGTGCACTTGTATTCCCTTAAAGCAGGCTTGTAAACACTAATTTAAGCATCCGAAATGAAAGTAAAGACTTCTTGAGTCTAAATTCGTGAATAAAGCACCCTTTTAATTGGCAACTTTAAATTAAAACACGAATTACACGAGGTAGAAGAGTTTTTATTGTTGCAAAAGTGTCGAAATCCCATTCTGAGAAATCGATTCCCGGTGCTTAGGTGGTACAGGTCAACTCTTAAGGAAGGTGATTTGGTCGAGGTAAATGCATATTTATGCCACCAATAATATCTCTGAAAATAAGCTTTAAATCTTGAAACAGTCTGTTCCGCTCTCAAAATGCAGATTCATATCTTGATCGACAAAGCAGGAATGTCAAAAATGGACATATTTTTGAAAATTGTAGGGTTTATCGCTAATTACATATCCGTTTTCTAAAACGAAAACCCATATATTACTTAATTTCGGCCGCCAGAAATCGGTAACGCTAGAGTCCTCCTAATTTGCGATCATTCTTCTAAGCAATCGGCTTTTTTCTCAAAGTCACAACGGAGATTGCAGTTGAGTGGGAAGTAGGAAGCCTGCTACTGCAAATTTTCCCATGGCTATGAATTTAACTCCGCTCACAACCACAGGCAATGTGTAAGGTTACACACAAACATCAGGCAGGCTTCGTTTAATTAAACACTCAAGATTACCAACGATAAGCCAATCACCGTAATCAATAACCTAGTAGGTGGCTGATCTTTTCCGCATCGCTCAGAATTGCTGGATTTTGTATTTCAACTGCCACACAAACGGTGATTACTTCGATTACGTCATCAATTGATGCCTGCAGTTGAGAGTGGATGATAAATGCTGAGTGATGGGCTCCAACCAGTCAAATTGCTTACTAATGACCTCACGTCTATCAAGTAGCAGATTTAAACAAAATAACGTGTGTAGCACTGGCCCCATACATCGATAAAATCGATTGCATCAACAAAATCTCATTGAACACAAATAACGGCCTATTTGCCGATGTAATCATTCTGATTGATTTTAATTTGTGTTTTTATTGTATTAATTTGTTTATTCGCATTGACGAAGCACCAGCGAATTCTAATCAATCAAGACTTTAACAAATGACAGATTTCAAATCAAACTGACAACAATCGACAGAGCCAACCTGTTGGATTTGATAGCCATTAAAGTCAAAAGACGCGTCGTATTGCTCATCTCAATATCCGCAATCGGGTTGATTGGATCGCCAAAAATCGATGCCTCTCAGAATCGATTATTGCAATTACATTGGCGAGTTACTAAGCAAATTTGCTAGTATTTACAGTACCACTCGTGTCATGTGGCCTACCAACGCCACGGCTTCATCGACCTTTTTAATTAGGTGGAGGTTGTGTAGAACTTGGGTGATTGTGCGTATCAGGTCGCCTTTACAATATTTGATTGACTTGATTAAATTTATAGCTTCATCCATCACCATGGCTACCGGTGTAATCTACTGATCCTTTACCTGACAATAATCAGATGCAGTATCAACTAGTCAGTAACTAAGTCAACTGCATTTGCACCAATCATTGCTTGCTGTCCCTCAAATCATCCTTTACGTCGATTTTGAGACTTTTTACTACACATGTGACTCTTAACGGTCTTCATAACCCGTGTTTATCTAAATTAGATGCTGCAGGCCACAAATCATGGCATAATTTAAAAAAATGATATGAAAAAACTTCCAAATTTCATGATACACGCACATCCCCGTTCTCTTGGCATCACTTCACGGATTTCACACACAGCATTTCTTAGCTTCCTTACAGAAATAAAACATGCTAAAGTACCGGTGTTTAGACCCTATTTCCTTAGTTATTGGTCAAATAATTAAATCAACACAAAAAGCCTACTTGATTAATTTAGATAGCTAGTATTTACAGGTTGCCTGCCGCAAACGAACCTGGCAGACAAGTCCTCTGACAAGAAACACCTCTTAGAGACCAGTGGCACCTCATTCTCCTTAGCCGCCGATAAGCCGCATTTTGCACAATAAAGATGATGAAACGCGCATCAGGACAGTTTAAACAAACCAAATTAACCATTCCAAATTACCAAACCACTGGTTTAACAACAAAAAAATGTCTCACACAAGCGACGGAATATTGGGATTGTATTTACAGATCTAAGCCACATTCAAGTAGTCGTCTTTAGCCTTTTCGAGGCGATTTTGCACCTCCGCGTCGACGGAGACATCGCGAAGGCTCCTTAGTCCACGCGGACGGTCTGCCTCCTCGCAAAGAAGCTGGTCCACAATTTGCTCAATGGTGAAGATCAGTATTCTTTGAACCCGTTTTTGTTCCTTTTGAGCATCGGCGATGCGACCTTCAACAGCACATTCGTGGCGATGAAGCTCGCGTAGAATGAAGTACGCACGTAGACGCCTGAGGTGTGATCGACCGACCTCTGTTGAACACAGCTAACAAGAACTGTCGTTATGAAAGGAAAAGACACCTTACTTGCATCAGGGCTTCACAAATCGTGAATTTCACCGAAGTGTCTGATTCCCGTTTCACTGTTTGACTATGGTACGCCTCACGGATGAGAGGAGGAAGATTTAGGAGGTCGTCTGCGTCGATGTTATCTTCTGGACCACAGAGAACAACCAACAGGTTGCACAAAATATCCTCTTCATCGGAACAAATTTTGCCGTGATACCCTAGAGAAAAACGATGTAATGATGCCAAAAATACAACTGTACTTTCTTCAAAGCAGCAATTCTTCACAATGCCCGCGATGGACAGGCGTGAGGAAGCATCGTTGAGCTCGCGTAGAAGACAGACGAGGAGCGACAGACAGTCTAGCTCATCGCATATACACTGTCGCATTTTTGAAATGGCTGTTAGGTTAAGAATAAACTACGTCGTTGCGTTAGACATAGCAAACGCACACACCTGGAGCTCTGTGCGTGATGGCTTGCGCTTCGTTGCTACTTTTTTGTAAATCGAGGTTACGTAGGATTTGTCGCACAGTGCGGCTGCCCATTCCGAAACTACCGTCAGGTTCACGAGTAGTGATGATGTTAATGTCTTGATGTCCCCTTCGGCATCAGACAAGGTCAACGAGATAAGGGCACCAAGGAACTTTTCTCTTCGTTGTTCATCACAGGAATTAAAAAGTTGAAGTGCAAGAACTTCATTTGCACAAAAATTTATAAGACACTTGATTGAGAGCTGGAACATCCTATCGGAAGCTTATCATATAATAAAAAGAGATAATAAGTACAGAGAGCACTGGACGACATTGATTGTGCTGACTCCACAATAACACCAGTTAGGATATCGAAATAATGACTAAGTTCTTCGGTTATTTCACGAGTGGATGCTTCGTCGGTAGAAACCTGCAACAACGCCTCCAAGAGACCCGCCTGCTCCATAGAGTAGGACAGCAGTAGTGGGGTGAACTGTGAATGTGGTGTGGTGTGGCGTCGGATTAGGGCGCAGACATATTGGCCACCTGGCCTCAGCCAATCCCCTGTCTCTTTGCAATCTAATGGCATGCGGTAAAGGAAGGCAGCCAACCAGAGTAGGACACGAATGAGGTGCAGTATATAATGAGCGGCGTGGCCAGCGTGGTGGACTCGGATGGAAGG